TCTATCAGTTACGGCTACGTAAGTTTAGCATATCCACAAGAACACGTCGTTCTTGCAATAGAGACCTCTGGGTCTTGCCAAAATACACCAATACAACCACTAATACATAGTCGAGCAAGCTCTTTGGTTATACGACCTGATTGTTCTCAGGTCGTGGAAGACTGCCCCTGCCAACGAGGCATTTGACGACTCTTCCAACATCGTCGCACGCGCCAATACCATGTGAATTTGTTAAAGATATTCCATTTCCCTCTAATTCCAAAGTTGAATTCAAGGTTTTGATTGCGGTGAATGATAATTATAGTCCCAACTTTCAGGTCGAGGCTTCTTTCATGGGTTGGCATCCCATATGGAAACAAGGAGCTAACGAATTGCATTGAATGATTAAGGGCGTCAGCTGGGTCATTGCACACGACTTCATCTCGATTCTTCTTTATGCGTGCTGGTGTGCTGAGTTTCTTAAATTCTTCACTGTTGGGTTTCTTAGCCGTCATTCTTTGGTGTCAAGATAGCTTTCGAGGCGTAGGACGTAACGTCATCTGAAACTACACAAAGGATTATCTCCTCGATAGAATAATTGTCCATGCATTTGTCAGAAATTCTTACCACATCTTCCGATATATCTAATAATGTTTCCAGATCACTATTACCCACATTAAGAAGCCATTGCTCGAACTCCTTTTCGAATTATCTGCATTCATATTTCGATGAGGATGTATCTATAGCTGCGTGAAGTATCGAAGTTCGTTCAATCGACGAAGAAGCAGTAGCCACCCGTCCTCCATTTCGAATTACAGGCAGAACCAGACGGAAATCCCCGAAATATGTCCCTCCAAACAGTTTTAATTCCTGTGATGTCTCCATGATGGAGAATATTGCGATGGTTGACTCTTTTCAAGGTTTCATGCGATCTGGTGGCCATCTTCTAACCGGTTACGGGCTCGTTGGGTCCCGTTTCGAGGAGTCGTCGATTCACGTTTACATCGTCTGGTCATCGACTGCAATTGTCGATGTCGTCATAGCTACCTTTCAGCAATCGTCGTCTATGAACTGAATGTTGGAATTTAGCTGAGAATCAACTGAATTCCAGGAAATTCTGCAAGTTTTAGAGAATTTTTAGGCATTTACAGGCATTTTGCAAAATTAGAAATTGAAAAATCAGCTTTTAAATAATTATCTTTTTGTAATGATTTGATATTTCACAGCAATTCACCATTTCACGTGGAGTCATTTGCCATCTAGAAGGAGATATGAGATTTCACTCACCAGTTCAATCGAATGGTCGCCGTCTGATGTTTCAAATGCCAGACATTCATCATGTTTTAAAAAAAGCGATCTGAAGCATGAGAACTCGAAAGGACCTACTGGAATAATCTTCTTGGTCTTTGAAATTTACCATGTTCCTCAAATCAATCTCTTAATGAAAGAAATTTAAGGTGCAACAGACTTTTGCTCATGTCAGCAGATCCCATCCTTGGGATCATGAAAATATTTTCATATGATCTGATAGCTTAGAGATGCATGGTTCTAATTTCATTTTAAAAATGTGTACCCACGATTGAAGGATTCCTCGCCATGATAAGGTAGTGTTTTTCTTAGTCCTTGTGATATCACTGTGAAGACAGTATCTGTACTTTCTTTCTCCCCTCCCAAATAGTCCTTCAGGTTATTATAACTTGCAGGAAATACTTAAGCTAGGTAAACTTAGATCACGTACGGGTAAAGTTCCTCAAAGAAGATTTAAAGTCAATAACATAGAAGCGACCTACTACAGGCGTAAGGTAAGCTCCTATAATATACACGTGTTAACAAGAGATGATTTATACGATGATGAAGCCACTTCATTATCTTTTTTTATATCGATCGTCCTTTTGCTAACCGTTGGTTGCGATCACGATCCATCCTGCTCTAAGGTGATCCAACAAGTCTCAAATAATCTTCAAATGGACAACCATTCACACTTTAAAGCCATGAAATTCCGTAGACATGCAATATAATGGATATATATTTTTAATCAGCCAGTTCATCAGAGACATTATACGTTTCTATTGATACAGGATCATCGATGGTGCTTAAAGAAAATAACCGATCACAGGCTATGATGAAAACTATGAAATGGGAATATTGAATACAACTTGAGCCACGAAGGCCACTGTGTAAGTGAGAGTAAAATTAATTTGAGGACCAATATGTACAGGGATTTGTCCATATTCCCCAAAAGCCCCGTAAATGTACAGTAATAAGGGACAATAAAGATTAAGCCCGCGCTAACGAGTTCTAGGAAGCACTATACTGTCCTTACATGAATTACCCACATGAAAACGTTCGCTGACGGAAAGCATGTCTTATGTATGTAAAATACTTGGGAAAGTAGTAAACTTTGAATACTCTGAGACGCCAGAAAGAGGAACAATTGCTTCAAAAAAGATCGCACATATATAGAGCACGAATCACGCACTTTCATGGTGAATAATATGTCACCGTCGAAATGACCGTGACTGTATATGAAAGGTGAAATCACTATAAAGAGACCAGGGCGGATTAACAATGCATATGAATATGTTGACAACGGAAATCGGAAGTTTTTTTCTACTTAACCGTCTTAAGTGTGTTTCGTAGATTACATGTTCCACAAAGTACTTCATATAAGGTTGAAGCTTTATCATACCATTTAGTATACAGCTAGTACTTAAAGCAAGCTTTTAACATTATAAGGGAAAAACTAGAATGGCTTTTTCGCGCTTTCCGTTTGCCTCCCCTAGAAAGAAATTAAAACTTTAAATCATTTGGTCTTGGCTAGTAATCTAACCTAGCAACTCCACAAAGATACGAGAGAAAAAAATTTTCAAAGTATTGAAGTGAAGGTTGGATAAATTCTTCGAAAACAAGGAGAATGCGAGAAGTCACTATGCATTTGCCGATTGCATCAGTTTGCATAAGCAAGAGGCCAATTGAAGCCAGTTGCCAAAGGAAAAGGCGAATCAATTCTGTAAAGATTGACGTCGCGAGTTGTTGCTTGGTCAATTGTAAGGAGGATGTTATTGAACTTAGTTTGTAGTTTATCTTTTGAGTTAGACAAGAAAAACCGTAATAAGTTCCCCTGTAGTGTTATTATCGTAGTTAAATGTTACGTTATAAAACTAGTGTTTTTACAAAACAAAATCCATATTCTATATGCTCCTTGTGTAGTCGTCTTAACTTGTTTTTTCACCACGAGCTTTAAAGCTGTGGCACTTGACAGGCCCCTTTCACATCGCGACGAAAACTGTTTGATGAATCAGCACTGTAACGAGTCAGAAGCGAACTAGGGGGAACTTTTTTGCAACTCATGCCAAACAATGAGGCACACTGAGACCTCAAGGGGGAGATGGAGAACAATGTAATCCGTTATTGTGCAGCTTTTCAACTCGTATTAAACGCTCACCATCGCAAATATACTCACTTCATACCCATCATCTTTCATTCTTACCACAGAATCTCCTCGTTCATGTGCATTCGTTTACTGCTGACCCAATGCATTTAAATGCATGAAAAAATACATTATGGTGTTTCCAAGGTCTCCTTACTAAATTTAAATTCCATTTATCATTAAATTTCACATGAAACAAAGAAAACTGTTGTTACAATGACGATAAATAAGGTAGAGAAGCATTCGAATACTTTCTGGGATGCGCCTTCACATCTTTTCAGACATTGACCAAGCACTGCGGATTCTGNNNGGACATCACAATAATAGCATCAATTTACAATGCAATATTTTGATCACAAAAATGTTTTGTTTTAGGTATAAGATATACGAGGAACACATCAGCAGAATTGAACAAAAAAGTGGTGCTCGAAATTTCGTGTGGCACTTGACAGGCCCCTTTCACATCGCGACGAAAACTGTTTGATGAATCAGCACTGTAACGAGTCAGAAGCGAACTAGGGGGAACTTTTTTGCAACTCATGCCAAACAATGAGGCACACTGAGACCTCAAGGGGGAGATGGAGAACAATGTAATCCGTTATTGTGCAGCTTTTCAACTCGTATTAAACGCTCACCATCGCAAATATACTCACTTCATACCCATCATCTTTCATTCTTACCACAGAATCTCCTCGTTCATGTGCATTCGTTTACTGCTGACCCAATGCATTTAAATGCATGAAAAAAAATACATTATGGTGTTTCCAAGGTCTCCTTACTAAATTTAAATTCCATTTATCATTAAATTTCACATGAAACAAAGAAAACTGTTGTTACAATGACGATAAATAAGGTAGAGAAGCATTCGAATACTTTCTGGGATACGCCTTCACATCTTTTCAGACATTGACCAAGCACTGCGGATTCTGGACCATCGGATTCTAAGAAAACTGTATTATTTCATTGTTCTTCAACTTCTACTAGTGTCTTTCCTATAATTATATCGAATAAGAATGCGAAAAAGTAGAGAAGTCAGGTGCTGCAAGGAAGCCTTCAGCAAGTGTGTTGATGAGAGATGTACTGGGTCATGAATATTACATCGAGATGCAATCATATATACATGTATACATAACCATGTATTCGTGAAGAGTTGCGTAAAAGTAATAGTCAATATAGTGAAACGCAGAAAGAGGCGCACATACGTAAGTCACAATCAATAAAGACCTTGGAATGTGAATGCTCGGGTAATTTTTGGATTTCCTGGCGATAGGGGGAATGTGGAAATTTGGAAATGAATTTGGATTTGCGAATGTCGGATTAGGCGTTGAGAAAAGTGTACAATATTCTAAAAGTACTTCCAATTACGGGTGCCGCTACAATTTCAGTGAAAGGTATTAGTTTCTCCAATAACAACTTATATACTATAGAAATGCACAATACAGTATCATTTCTGGTTATTAATGAGGTGCTGCATTTCTTGTCAAAATGCGAAAAAAATGCATTCTACTACTGTGTTATAGCAACTGAAATGTTAAAAAAGCGCTCTGGACAGAAGACGGCGAAAAAGTGATGGAGAAGTTGGATGAATCGATCAGTGACATTCTTTGCAAGTAATCTCATTTCTCCTTCGATGCCACATCCAGCGGATGATGTAGCACCCTTGATCGATGACGTCGAAGATGGTGATGAGAGACACACCGAGACAGACGCCGACGATTCCTCCGATGTTGGACAGGAGATCAAGTATGCTCACCTTCTCCTTCTCCAATATGTAAGATACCTGTCAGGACACACAGATATTTGTCGAGGGTCTTTGAAAGAGGATGGAGATTTAGGGACTGGATGTCGAACGAACCCGGGTTGATGGGAAACTGAAGAAAAGGCATACATCACCGGTACGGCAAAGACTATTAGGTCCCCTCTCGCAGGCTGGCGTTGGGTTCCCGGATATGTGATATTCGGTCAAATTGCACCTCCTCTTACAGTTGCAGTCAGTGGCCAACTTGGGAATCAAATCCCTACCTACCAAACCAAGATGTTTCCCTTGGCTTACTTCCATGTTGAGGTTTTCACATTCAGGTTTCGTGTGATTGGTTCCCTCAGGTAGGAGGCCAGGGCTGAGACATGGTAGGTCGGGATCAGACTGAATCTTTTCCCAGAAGCAGTTCTCAATGCACTGGATAAACAAATTGCTTCCTGCTACACTAGTGCTAATGAAATTTCCGTTTACGGATCATCTCCATAAGTTTCGATGAACTCACCCTCGTGTAGCTATAATCATTCGAAGAATCACAGGGATCCTCTTTTTTCCATTGTTGCTGAATTATCTCAAGACGAATGTAAATATCGATGTGGGAATCCTTGAATATGGCCACTCTCTCAGGCATGAATAAGTCCAAATTAACGAAAGGCTCCCTTTGGTCGTGAACGAAGAAATCGATCTGTGGTGATGAAGAGGTACGAGATGAAGAACTAATTTCTGGGGAATTTCAAAAATATAATCTGTGTCATTCGTTAGGTGAGGAATAAAAGCGTGATTATTTTAAATGTGTTGCAAATGAGACTAAAGAGAATGTATTAAGCGTTTGACCACGGTATTTGAATATGTCCACCTTGAACCATGAAAGTTCCCCGCATAAACATAAAATAAAAGTTTATGCTTATTTGGCGAAGTCGATTTTGACCGCTGAGCAGGTACGAAAATTCATTTCCAGGGCTTGGCACTTAAGAGTCCACGGAATAAGCTTCATTGTCGTGCTATTATATCTGGCAAAATTATATAGGAATCAGCGAGAGTGAACAATTTTGGGAAACTATAGATAGACCACTATAAGTCCAATTTTCCTCATTCCCAACCGATTAAGGTTCCTCTTAGACAAAACAGTATATATCTTGGTTGTGAATCCTCCTACTCACAACACTTATATTTTCATACTAGCAGAACATTTTTTTACAATTTAAAAATACTACCGCACTATCCCTTCCTAAGCTGAGAGGAAGGAGTTTGTCTCACTTCACAAAGTACATCTTTTTCATGGAGCGACCGAGTGCCGCTGGCCCAGATTCGGTGTGAACCAACCACTTTCTCGCATATACATTTCCCCATTTAAAAATGAAGCAACGTAAAATTCACACCTTTGAAACGAGTGAAAGGAAAACATGCATCACTTATGCATGTTTGAAGGGTTGTAGTTATTGCAGAAGTTTATCGTAGCGCTGGCTGCTGTTTCATGAATGGCATGAAATCGCAAGGCTTTCATGCCCCAACCGGTATGATGAGTAGATTATTCCTACCTCTGCAAAATCGTATTGCAGGATCGACGCGAAATCAAATGAGAAGACTTGTGCTTCGCAATTCTTCTTGGCCACGGGCAATTCTTCTTTCAGATATAGCGTGAAGCACTTGTAATACCCAGTGACGTCCTCCAGGTCATAAAATATTCGCTCGCTCCAATACCCTTTGTCTAAGCGAAGAACACTATTCCTATTCATCTTTCCATAATTTCCACATTTGAATGGAAGTCAGTAAAATCCTTACCATTTTCTAGTGGAATGATGGTTTCCTGGCCGGTAAATGATCCGTTTGGCGGGTTCGCTGGTTTCGAGTTGGTAGGAATCAATCTAACCAAGTCGGTCAAGGGCACCGTAACCTTCGCGAATTCCTCTAATTGATCGATTTTTCCCCCCGTCATTCTGTCTTCAGACGCTTTCAGAGAGGGTCTCGGACAAATCGTAAATGCTGGAGGCGGGACCGTGTTCACATTCTCAATCTTATACAAGGTGTTGGTCGGGAAAGACTCGTACTCGTTGACCAAAAGCCTGACCTGCAAATTCTCATCCATTCATCATCCAAAAGCACACTACTAAAGAGCGAGTTGACCTATAAACCGGCGCTAACCTGTTGGATCGCAAGAGCTGCACATACGGCGATGAATATCGCCTTCATGGCGTCTCTCATCCTCCTCACTCTGACTGAGGCTTTAGGAAAAACTGTTGGTTGTCATGTTTTCTCCATTAAAAACATAATAAAACCGATTGGAATATCACCTTGGGTATCCTGAATCGGGGGATCATCGGTCACCTTCTCCGTCTTCCAAGCCTGGACTGGATTGCTGGACATCTCCATTAAGGGAATCACTGTTTTACAACAGTTGCTTCCACTTTGATGCACCTTGAAAATATCATTTTTGGAATCCTGTTCATTTGCATGGGAAGGTGTTTCCCTTTAGAAACAATCATTATAGTTCCATAACTATTTTTTTAAATAGCGATTTCCTTTCCTCTTCAATAATATAAATTCGCAATGGTGGCGCCTTCGACTCTCAGACCCTCTTGAATAGTGTAGCTCAATAACTTGTTATAATTTCTCATCGTCAGAGCATTTGGCTTCCACTGCCATGAGGAAACATACATTTGAATTTCATGACAGCATCTTCGATAGTCGATGTTCCCGTTTCCTCTGAACTTAAAAGTCAAAAGACCATTTTTACAAATTTTCAAAAGCACATCATCCCCCATGAAGCTGCTGAAAGACAATTTTTTTAAAATAAAAATACTTTCTAGAACTTATACTCTCTGGAGATTTACCCAAAAAATTAGAAATGTTCCTCAGATGATCTGACAAACCGATAGGCCGCTACAATTAGTAAGCATACAATATCTGTCTGAATGAACGACCAAAAAATATTATTGGAAAATGTTCTTCACAAAAATCCCCCCCTTCACCGCCGCCCCTGAGATGGACCCCAAGAGCAGATTATTTTATCAGCACCCCAACACCTACTGCACGCCCCTTTTAATTTCCTTATCACTTTTAGAAAATCGGAATTAACTTCAGTCTTTACAAATCTATATAAAAAAATGTTCTTTTGCAAGTTCCCCAATTGTGAATCGAAAGAATCGATTCCTAAGAGGAACTAAGGGTGTAATTGGCAAGCTATTATCGAGGAAATATGACTTGAAACCAGGTTTCAGCTTCATTGAAGTCTTAAAAATGGGAAGGTGTGGTTTTAATGAAACGTTCAATAATGACTGAAGGTTTCTCACCCACGAGAAGCTGGTGATGCTCTTCGTTCTTCTAGATCTGTAATGAGAGACGGCAGGTATTCTTCTCTTGTCCCTGTCCCGAATTCCTCTTCCGGTATTCACGATTCGACGGTAGTCACTGGGTGCGAAGGTATGCCTCCTTGTAGATGAAGTTTACATTCTGCTTCAGCTTCTCCCACTTCATGGAACACGGCGTTTGCATTCATCTTCAACTGTTCCCTCTTCATGGAACGTGTCAGCATTCCCACCTAGTGAAGTGTGTGGAAACAAAGGCGCCCCGCCGTTCCATTAATGGGGGAGGTACTTGATGGACATATAGAAAATCGATCATCCGCCAGATCACCAACGCTTCTCTTCACGTGTGAAGCGATGACATGCAAAATGCTTTTTGAGTGAATCTCCTCTGTTAAGGGGACTTTTTTCTGAAGCGATTAAACTCAACAATTGGAGGAATAGAATGACATACATAAATGTTTTTTTTAATTATTTGTGGAATATGCATTTCATTGGTGGAGTTTTGTATTGCGAGATGAAATGCGTAAATTGGGTTATTTCATACAAACTCATGCAGGCAGGACCCTGAACCATCTCCGAATTCGCAATATTTATTAGCGGCGATTACAGCTAATCTTAAAATCCCGTCAAAACATAATCAACACTGTTGGATCTGCTGTTAGTGAGATATGGCACTCAGAACTGACCCACTTTTAACCTTTTTGAGTCCCTGCCGTTTTAAAGGTCGAGTCCTTGGTAACGCTCTTTATCCATAAAGTATTCATTTATTAGTATTATAGTATATAAAACTCAAACTTACCTAAATTCGAAGATTATCGAATTCTTAACCCCGAAATCTAGGCAATTTTGACTCCCCCATATCCTTTTTGGGCGAAGCAAAGGCAAATCTCTCATTATGGTAAGTTGCTGTCATCTTCCACGTACATCGAGGAAGCATTTGCTTGAGTTTTGCCTGCTACAAAGAAACCATTTCATCGAAATGTGGAATTTCCTCCTTCTTAGTCAACTTTGAAAGTGAATTCTTCGATGAGTCGGATGATATGGTGACCTCGTGATTTCTTGAAGGCTGTAATATTTGTTATCTCTTTCGAAAAGAAATTATGTATTTTTTTAATTCATGCGTTTCTTAAAAAGTCACGTTTTTCTGAAGTGGCTCTATATAATTTTGGGACACATCTATTTAAATGTCTCTCAGAGCTTCATATTATGATATGGGTTTCACTTGTTTTGTGTGCAGTTTTTTTGCGATGCATGTTTTCGAACGACCCTGAGAATCTTACAGGTCCGACACCAAGCCTCCCCGGAAGAAGAATAGGCTCCTTCTGGACTGGCGGATTTTGTCTCTTCCTTGGTATCCTATGCGCCGGAATTCCCGTAATTTTTACTGGTTCGACCCATTGTTTCGTATTTTTGTGAATTTTTGCATTGCAGAAGCTGGTACTGTTTTGTGTCTTATCGTTTAAACTTCTCCCCAAGTAGATTTCCCTCTCGTCTGAAAGAATGGCCCAATCCCCCACCCGAAGGACCAAAGCGGTGTCCTCTCGCAATGCCTGAGCAGTTGCGAGGATTTTGGACGCGATGCTGGTGGAGCCAAAGAAACGGACGATGTGGGTGTCGTCATGGGGTAAACATTTCTTGGAGGTCTCGGTACCGGGGATAGTGAATGCCGACGCGTACCGACCTTCCAGATGCTCTCGTGCGTCAAGAACGCCATCATTGGAGACCCAGAACTGCTTGATCTCGTTCAAGTGGTGTACTGCTCAGCCGAAATAGTCTTTCGGGGAAAGAATTTGATGGTTGTTGGATGGTTGCATGGATGATCTGCTGCTCGATAAAGACTGGCCATGCCACCGAGGCGTTTGACGGTTCCGCCGAAAATGTCGCGCGCGCCTTTATCATGCGAGTCGGCAAATGAGTTCCAATACGCTGGAATTCCGGTCTTACTCGTGGAGACATGGAATAGTGAAAATTTTCCCAGTGTTTATGCAGGCTTCCCTCGCTTATTATGGTTTCTTTTTTTCTTTTCTATTTTTTTTTACACGGATTTGCACTTGCACGGTTTTTTTTTATTGCGAAACATTTGGAAAGTACGGGGTGTGGTTCCCGGATACACGGCTCGGGTTTATTGAATTTTCGGTATTGGAAAAAAGTTCAAGTGCGAATCCATGTAAAAAGAACCCGTGTAAAGCGAGGGAAGCCCGTATTGACTTCCTGCTCCATCGCTGAAGTGATGGATTACTTTGAGTTCGAGCAAGCTCTCCTTTTTGAGCTCTCCTTTTGAATTTTTTTTTTGGAAGGCCCGCACAGTAACATTGGCGTGATCGAGGACGGGTCACCAATGCACACAAAACAGACATGCGCGAGCTGGCCGTCCTTTTTGAAATAGGCGACGAAAGGGTGCGGCGTTCCCCTTGGAATATTCCCTTGATATCCCTAACCTATATCCTGTACGGTATAGGATTGGTTTCCAGGGAAATTTCCCATGAGAATGCCCTCCAGTCCAACAACGGAGAGGTTCTGCTTTAATTCTCTCATGGCACGTACGCCTCTCCACTCATGTCCTGCATTTTACTGGCGCTATAGTCTTCACTGAAGAATAAAATTGACTCACATAGCATCCCCTTGAAGACATCAACACCCATCAGGTACGTGTTCAGTGTGGTTCCGTAAACCGTTCGCCACTGCTTCAGGTGAATTTCCTCCACAGTTAACAGGTTCGCACGCTAGGCCTAAATTAAGGAAAGCTAATTTCATTATGCATGGCCAAATGTTGCATTGCAACCCCGAAAAGGGGAAGCGAAGGAAGGTTATCGATAAAGAAACACGTGATTCTTGTCGCTTATATCGTCACAGAGGCGCAGGACCACAACGTCAGCGCACATCCGAAAGTCTGATATTGGGTCACGTTCTCCGAGACCGCCTTGCCCTCCAATCTGTGCGGGTAGCCTGAGCTACCATGTTCATCCACAGACCGACACTCCTCGAGATCGACAAAAATTATTCCTGAAGTTGGTTCGGGAACGGTCTGATTTTGCACAATTTGCCATTGCGATCCAAATCAAAGTTGTCCGTAAAGTGCAGATGTCTGAGTTTCAATTCAAAAATGTTCAAAGACATCGCATTCGCAATTGGATCCACACGGAGGCCCTCATTACGGGACCGGTAAAGCCTGATATTTGGATATCTTATGTAAGACATGACTAGGTTCATCCCTGGGAACATTTTTAGTTCCGAGACCGTCAAGTTGACGTTCTCTTTGCCGTTCTGGACGGCATAGAGGTTAATTTGGTTTCAGCTAAGATATTGTTAGTAATCAGTTCACCATAAAAGTCAATGGGCTCGTTACCCTGGACGTTCAACTTGTGCTCCCCAAGGAGCTTTGGCATTGCCCCTTGACGATTGTCACGCCTCACCAAAGTGCGCTGATTTATTTATTTATTTATATTTATTTGGGGGAGGGACCAAACGGAAACTTCTTGCAACTATCATTCCTCAGTCTTAGCAAGGACAAATAAACTACAGAACGACTACAAAAACGCAGGGATGCAAGGGAAGGCGCACCAGCGGAACGAGAGTGAGATCAAACTCAGCCAAGTGCAGTGTCTTGGGCTCCGTCATGCATGTCGAAATGGGCTGAAAGATTCTTCACTGGATCGTATGAAACAAAATCAAAATCGAAGCTATATTTAGGAGCCATCGCAGTCATCGCAATGTAACCCAGTAAAGGAGACTTTCTTACCGGTCGGTCGTTTTTTCAGGAACGTTTCGGTGCTGGTTTAGGCTCCACCGAAGCTCTATGGTCTTGATTCGACAGGAAATCAGATTTTCGAGTCGAGGTACAGGGCCACCGACCAAACCCATTTCATTGGGCGTGTCGACATCACTCTGATCATTGGACGACTCTCTGAGGCTTAGCCATGCTGAGCTGATGGCATCTACTATTCATCTTCATCTGTTGCACTCTCTACCCCATTCAGAATCCGTAGGGAAATCGTCGAGAGCTTAATGACTTTCTGAGAAACGAGTAGAGAGGGTAGGGAATTTGCAAAGCGTAGAGACTTAGAATTTACGAACTAATGCTGTTCACTGGAGTGGACGGTAACACATTCACCTGTAAATTCGGGTTTCGGGACTGTTTCAACTGTTTCGGGAGTGAGTGCTTCTGCTGGTCTGCCTTGACGAGGATCATCTTCAATGGATTCTCTGCCTAAGCGAAACTGCTTAGCCCAATCTTTCACCGTAGAATATGAAGGGGAAGATTCTCCATACACAGCATCCAAACGTTGTTTAATTTCTGCCGGGCTTTTACCTTCTTTTGTAAGAAATTTAATGATCGCGCGATACTCAATTTTGAACATTTTCGAATGCAATGGAACAGCACGTCTTCTCTCGACGCTAGCATCCATACTACTGAGGGTAGAGCTACCAAATTTTAACTGCAGCTTAACAGAACATAGGGTGGGGGGTTGCCGGCGTGGTACCTGTGAATTCATGTTCTAACTTGTTCGGGCCGGAAACTTCTGGACCTTACTACGTATATCATTCTGAGCCATAGGCTTCATACTTATTACCACTCTTTGATACAGTTAACTGAATGCGTGTCACGGTTTCATTGATCGACGACAGGTTCTTCATATGAAAACATTCTTTGCTGAGGGTTTTTTTTCTGTATTTAATTGTTTTCCGTTAGGTCAGGCGCGGCGGTTAGGAACACCGCTTCTATGCTATAGTTTTCTGTTTGCGTTTCATGTCATGGTCGATTTATTTGAGTTTTCATGATTGATTTCATCAAAGTAATAACGTAAGTTCTTTGTTTCATACGTTGCGCAAACGGACTGCTCCTCCCATCAAAACGGTGGCGATATTTGCGAGGTGAGGGTGAACGAGAAAAAAAATGTTGAAAGAGGTCCTACAGGACGGCGATGAGGCAGTCACTACAGATAATAAACGATTGGTGCTGGCGTGGAAACAACGTTTGTCACAGCAGTTGCGGTGCGAAGTGCCTAAATCGGTGCTTTAGGAGATGCTAGCCGTAATGGCTAACATGGCTGATGACCAGTACCCAGTTGCACGTAGGGAGCGTAAGGCTGAACAGCAAGAGGCAGCGAATGCTGAGCTCAGAAATAGGAGAGCCTGCATGGCTGCTGGGCAACTTGATGCAAGGAACGCAGGTGTCGAAAGCCGGGGGGCGGCCGGGAATTGAACCCGGACCTCTTGCTTGCCGGTCAGGTGCGCTACCATTACACCACGGAACTCGGGATTTTATACCTCGCAATGTCATCTCAAATCACTACAGTTGTTTGCGCAGCGAGCACTGTCAGGCTGTACATTTTGCTGTAGGGAAGGGACATTTGTTCCACATTACTGTACTGCCACAACGGAAAAGTGCTTCTGCTGCAACTCACACTTAACGCTCACACTGTTGTTCACTGGTGCTAATGTGGAGGGGAGGCATTTTCAGGAATTATTCGTTAGTATTCTGCTGTACATCCGCTGTATTTCCTTTGTGTTAAAGTCGAACAAGTTTTTGAAAATGGCCCGTACTGTTTCAGAATCATTGTTGTATGTACCATGAACGAATGCTAATAATCCATGAGCATGGTAACGCAAGAGTGTTGAATGTGCTGGGAAGAAGTTGTGGCAGTGGTTGTCACCGGAAGGCCTACAAGACTAGATCATTTTATGACATAGGCTAAGCTATGCCGTCCTTGGCCATGGGCTAGACCAGCCACAGCGCCAAGTCCATGGGGCTTGGCCATCCAACGCACTTGGCGCCAGGTCTATCGGGCTATATCAGTCTGAGCCTTAGGCTTTGGTTCATTGTATTATTTCCATAGGCTTCATACTTAGTAACACCCTTTGATTGAGACAGCTAACTGAATGCGTGTCACGTTTTCACTGATCGACTGCAAGTTCTTAATTTGAATACATTCCTTGCTGATGTGTTTTTTTCTGTATTTATATTTTTCCGTTAGGTCAGACATGGCGGTTCGCGCCATCGCTTCATTGTTCTGGCCGATTTGAGTTCTCATGATTGATGAAGTCAAAATAATAGTCTAAAAAAGTCTTTGGTTCATGCGTCGCGCAAACGAGGTGCGCCTCCCATCAAAATGGTGGCAGTTTTTGCGAGGTTAGGGGGAACGCGAAGAAGAAGTGTTGAAGGACGTCCCACAGGACGGCGATGAGGAAGTTGTTGCTGGTGAAAAACGGTTGGTCTGGCGCGAAAACAACGAATGACACTGTAGTTGAGGTGGGAAGTGCCTAAATCGATGCTAACCGTAATAGTTAGACTCAGTGATGAACAACATTCATATGTGCGTAGAGCCGCTTAGACCGCTGAACAGCAAGAGGCAGCGAATGGTGAGCTCCAGAATAAGCGAGCCGTGCAGCCTGCTGAGCAATTTGATGCAATGGAACGCAGCACTCAGGTGTCGAAGGCCGGGAGGCGTCCGGGATTTGAACCCGGTCCTTCTGCTTGCAGGTCGTGTGTGATACCATTACACCACGGAACTCGGGATGTTATGCCTCTCAATGTCATCCCAATCATTACAGTTGTTTGTCGCAGCGAGCACTGTCAGGCTGTACATTTTGATGTAGGGAGGAGGTATTTATTTCGCAACGGAAAAATGCTTCTGCTACAACTCACACTATAGCACCAGTGAACTTTCAGATTCTCAGGTTAATGAGGTGGCGAGGCATTTTCTGGAATTAGTCGCTAGTATTGTGCCGCACATGTACTAAATTCCCTTTGTGCCTTCGGACAAGTTCTTGAAAATTATCAGTACTGTTTAAGGATCATTGGTGTATGTACCATATGCCAACGCTAATAGCCCATGAGCTAATCGGTGATGTAAGAATATTGAACGTGTTTGGAAGATGAAATCAGCAATGTCGTCTTGTGTCTTATGAAAACGTGCTAAACCTTTCGCAATGAACGATTGTGGCAATCGGCTGGAATATCCTAATGATGGTGTTTAGGAACAGAATCTCCCTGTGTACTGTAAACTATCCTATACTTTAATTCGAAGAGGTCAAAAGCTGCGGTGGTGGTGGCCGTGGCTGTCACCCCCAACGCGCAGGCCTACAATGCAATCCCCTTCTGGATCATAGGCCAATCCATCCGCGGCCTAAAGCGCCAGGCTTACAAGGCTACGTCTTTCCAGTCCACATTATACTTTGATTTGAAAAACCCGAGAGCTGTGGTGATGGTAGTTGTCACCCCAGTGCGCGAGGCCTACGAGACTGTCACTTCAGGCCATAGGCTGGGCCATCCACCCCTCAAAGCACCAGGTTCTTGAGGCTATGCTATTCGAGGCCATACGCTTGGCCGTCCAACGCTTTTAGCGCCAGTTCCATTGAGCTATATCAGTCCGAGCCATAGGTTTCGTACTTAGCTGTATCAAAGTTTTTTCCTTTATTTCCGTTAGGTCAGGCATTGCGGTTCGGGACATCACTTCCATGCAATGCAACGGTTCTCTGTTTGCGTTTCAGGTCATGGCGGATTTATTTGAATTCTCATGATTGATGAAATCAAAATAATGACGGAAGTTCTTTGTTTCATACTTCGCGCAACGAAGTATGAAGCATGAAACGCTCCTCCCATCAAAATTGTGGCGATTTTTTCGAGGTGAGATTGAACGTGGAAAAAAATATGTTGAAAGAGGTCCCACAGGACGGCGATGAGGCAGTCGCTGCAGATAAACAATTGGTGCTGGCGCAGAAACAACGTTTGCCAATTCAGTTGCGGTGCGAAGTGCTTAAATCGGTGCTTTAGGAGGTGCTAGCCATAATGGCTAGAATGATTGATGAACAGTACCCTGTTGCACGTTGGGAGCGTAAGGCTGAACAGCAAGAGGCAGCGAATGTTGAGCTCAGGAATAGGAGAGCCATGCAGTCTGCTGGGCAACTTGATGCAAGGAACGCAACACTCAAGTGTCGAAAGCCGTGGGACGGGCGGGAATTGAACCCGGACTTCTTGCTTGCCGGTCAAGTGTGCTACCATGGAACCCGGGACATTTTGTCAGGCCTCTCCATGTCACCTCAAATCACTACAGTCTTTTGTGCAACGAGCACTGTCAGGCTGCACATTTTGCTTTAGGGAGGGGACATTTGTTTCACATTGCTGCCACAACGGAAAAGTGTTTCTGCTGCAACTCACACTTAATGCTCACTCTGTTGTTCACTGGTACTAATGTGGAGGCGAGGCATTTTCAGGAATTATTCGTTAGTATTCTGTTGCACATGCGCTAAATTCCCTCTGTGCTAAAGTCGAACAAATTCTTCGAAACGGCCCGTACTGTTTCAGAATAGGTAGTACCTGCACCATGGGCTAATACTAAGAACCCATGAGTTAATCGATGATGCAAGAGTATTAAGCGTGCTGGGAAGAAGTTGTGGTGGTGGCTGTCACCTCAACGCGCGAGGACTACGAGACTAGATCATTTCAGGCCATGGGCTACTCCATCCACCGCTCAAAGTGCCAGGTCCATTAGCCTATGCCATCCGTGGCCATGGACTGGACCATCCACCAAAGCGTCAGGTCTATGCTATTCTTGGCCAAAGGCTTGGCCATCCAACACACTTAGCGCCAGGTCCATTGGGTTATGTCAGTCTGAGTCATAGGCTTTGGCTCATTTTATTATTTCCATGGGCTTCATACTTACCTGTCAAGCAAAGGGTGCCACGAGCTGAGTGCGTGTCACGTTTTCACTTATCGGCTGCAAGTTCTCCATCTGAATACTTTCTTTGATCGTGTTTTTTTTCTGTATTTATTTCTTTTAGCCGTAACGCCTAGAATCAGTGACGAACAGCAAGGAAATATGTGTAGAGCAGCTCAGACTGCTGAACAGCAAAAGGCAGCGAATGCTGAGCTCTGGAATAAGAGAGCGTTGCAGCCTGCTGAGCAATAGTGGTGGCGGTGGCTGTCACACCCAACGCGCGGGCCTACGATACTACGCCATTTTGGGTCATAGGCCAGGCCTACTGCTGGGCTATATCTGGCCTATGCTCGAGGGTAGTGGTGGTGGTTGTCACGAACAACGCGCGAGGCTTATGAGACTGTCACTTCAGGCTATAGGCTGGGCCATCCACCCCTCAAAGCGCAGTCCATGAGGCTATGTTATTCTATACCATAGGCTTGGCCATCCAACGCTTTTAGCGCCAAGTTCGTTGGGCTTCATCAGCATTGTTTCCATGCAAATTTTTCTGTTTGAGTTTCAGGTCATGATAGATTAATCAAGTCAACGTAATCATGCAAGTTCTTTGTTTCATACGTCGCGCAAGCGGCCCGCTCATACCATCAAAATTGTGACGATTTTTGTGAGGTGGTGTTGAACGCAAAGAAAAAATGCTGGAGGTTCAAAGGACGGCGATGAGGCAGTCGCTGTAGATAAAAAAAAGGATTGGTGCTGGTGCGGAAACAACCTTTGCCACTGCAGTTGCGATGCGAAGTGCGTAAATCGGTGCTTTAAGAGATGCCAGCCGAAATGGCTAGAATGAATGAACACCAAGCAGGTGTACGTAGGGAGCTCAGGGCCGCTCAGACCGCTGAACAGCAAGAGGCAGCGAGTGCTGAACTCCGGAATGGGAGAACCGTGCAGCCAGCTAAGCAACTTGATGCAAGGTTGGCACTTTCAGGAATTTGTTTTTAGCATTGTGCCGCACATGCACTAACTTCCCTCTGTGCCGTCGAACAAGTTCTTGGAAACGGTTCGTACTGTTTCAGAATCATTGGTGTCTGTACCATACGCTAATGCTAATAGCCCATGAGCTAATTGGTGATGCAAGAGTGTTGAATGTGCTAGGAGGACGAAATCAGCAATGTTGTCTTGAGTCTCATGAAAACGTGCTAAACCAAGGCGTTAACAATGGCGATTGTGGCAATCAGCTCGAATATCATGATGATAGTGTTCAGGAGGAGAATCTCCCTGTGTACTGTAAGCTATATGTGTATAAATGTAATGAAGCGGTTCAGTTACGAGTGGGAAATGCGATGTACAGAGGATTGCCAAGGAGACGTTATGCTCACAATAGACTATTGTCCGCACATGCACTAACTTCCCTCTGTGCCGTCGAACAAGTTCTTGGAAACGGTCCGTACTGTTTCAGAATCATTGGTGTCTGTACCATACGCTAATAGCCGATAAGGTAATTGGTGATGCAAGAGTGTTGAATGTGCTAGGAGGACGAAATCAACGATTGTGGCAATCAGCTCGAATATCATGATGATAGTGTTCAGGAGCAGAATCTCCCTGTGTACTGTAAGCTATATGTGTATAAATGTAATGAAGCGGTTCAGTTACGAGTGGGTAATGCGATGTAAAGAGGATTGCCAAGGAGACGTTATGCTCACAATAGACTATTGAAATGTTCACCTGTTAGACGGCCAGGGTAGCGGCCGCAGGCCGCTAGTATACTTTAAATTGAAGAGCCTGAGAGTTGTCGTGGTCGTCACCCCAGCGCGCGAGGCCTATGTGACTATGTCACTTCATGCCATAGGCCAGGCCATCCACCCCTCAATGCGCCAGGTCCTTGAGCTATATCAATCAAAGCCGTAGGCTTCGTACTTACCTGTGTCAAAGTTTTTTTCTTTATTTTTTTCCGTTAGGTCAGGCGTGGCAGTTTCGGACATCGCTTCCATGCAATAGTTTTCTGTTTGCGTTTTATGTCATGGCCGATTTATTTGAGTTTTCATGATTGATGTAATCAAAATATTTACGTAAGTTCTTTGTGTCATACGTCGCGCAAACGTGCCGCTCCTCCAACAAATATTGTAGTGATTTTTGCGAGATGAGGTTGAACGTGTAATAAAATGTTGGAAGAGGTCCCACAGGACGGCGATTAGCCAGTCGCTGCAGATAATAAACGATTGGAGCTGGCGCGGAAACAGCGATTGCCACTGCCATTGCGATGCGAAGTGGCTAAATCGATGCTTTAGGAGGTTCTAGCCATATTGGCGAGAATGACTGTTGAACAGTACCCAGTTGCACGTAGGGAGCGTAAGGTTGAACAGCAAGAGGCAGCGAATGCTGAGCTCAGGGTTTGGAAAGCCTTCAGCCTGCCGGGCAACTTGATGCTAGGAACGCAGCACTCAGGTGTCGAAAGTCGGGGGGGAGCCGGGAATTGTACCCGGACCTCTTGCTTGCCAGTCAGGAGTGCTACCACTACACCACGGAACTCGGGATATTTTGTCAGGCTTCTCCATGTCACTTCAAATTACTGCAGTCGTTTATGCAGCGAGCATTGTCAGGTTGCACATTTTGATGTAGGGTGCAGACATTTGTCTCACATTGCTGCCACAACGGAAAAGTGTTTCTGCTGCAACTCACTTAACGCTCACTGTTGTTCACTGGTGCTAATGTGGAGGCGAGGCATTTTCAGGAATTATTCGTTAGTATTCTGCTGCACATGAGCTAAATTCCCTCTGTGCTGAAGTCGAACAAATTCTTCGAAACGGCCCGTACTGTTTCAGAATCAGTAGTACCTGTACTATATGCTAATGCTAATAACCCATGAGCTAATCAGTGATGCAAGAGTATTGAATGTGCTGGGAAGAAGTTGTGGTGGTGGCTGTCACCGCAATGCACGAGACCTACAAGACTGGATCATTTCAGCCCATGGGCTACTCCATCCACTGCTCAATGCGCCAGGTCTTTGAGGCTATGCTATTCTAGGCCATAGGCTTGGCCATCCAACACTTATAGCGCCAGCTATATCAGTCTGAGCCATAGGCTTAATACCTTGACACAGCTGTCAAAGGGTGGTAATAACTGAATGCGTGTTACGTTTTAACTGATCGATAGGAAGTTCTTCATTTGAATACATTCCTTGCTGAGGTGTTTTTTTTTCCGTCAGGTCAGACGTCGCAGTTCGCGCCATCGCTTCCACGCAATAGTTTTTTGTTTGCGTTTCATATCCTGGACGATTTATTTGAATTCTCATGATTGATGAAGTCAAAATAATAGTCTAAAATGTCTATGTTTCATACGTCGTGCAAAAGAGGTGCACCTTCCATCAAAATGGTGGCGATTTTTGCGAGGTGAGGTTGGACGCGAAGAATAAATGTTGATGCAGGTCCCACAGGACGGCGATGAGGCAGTTATTGCTGGTAAAAAACGGTTGGTGCTGGCGCGGAAACAACGTTTGCCTCTGGAGTGGCGGTGCGAAGTGCCTAAATCGGTGCTAGCCGTAATGGCTAGAATCAGTGATGAACAGCAAGCAGACGTGCGTAGGGCCGCTCAGACCTCTGAACAGCAAGAGGGAGCGAATGCTGAGCTTCGGAATAAGAGAGCCATGGAGCCTGCTGAGCAACTTGGTTCAAGGAACGCAGCACTCAGATGTCGAAAGCCAATAATTGCCAATAATTGAACCCGGTCCTCCTGCTTGCCGGTCAGGTGTGCTGCCATTACACCACGGAATTAGGGATGTTATGCCTCTCCATGTCATCTCAACCACTACAGTCGTTTGCCGCAGCGAGCTCTGTCAGGCTATACATTTTGATGTAGGGAGGAGGAATTTGTTTCACAACGGAAAAATGCTCCTGCTGCAACTCACACTTTACCCTGAGGCTCAGAAAGTGTTGCTCACTAGTCTTGTTGGAAAACGATGGCACTTCGTGTTTCTTGTCCGATCTTCGACTTGTGAAGTCAAATTGTTCTAGCAAATCCAGGTAATTATACCGAAGTTAATTATATGCATCAGTTATGCAAACTAAGGCATGCATTTTGCCTTCTACTAAACGGTAGGGATTGTACTGATGGGGGTGAGGCGCTGGCCAAAAATAGGCACCCATATTGAAATTTCTTTGCTCGCACATTTCGATCTGCCAACATCTATAACGGGAAATAAATAAACTCCCAGTCAAACCTTCATTTCGATGTAGAGATAACGCGTTTCATCCATTACTTACCGAGTTATTAATTTTTGAAATGGTTGCATTCTTTTACGGACGCCCTGTATATTAACTTACTAGCGAGTTTCTTTGCCCGAAGAGCAAACGAACACAGTATGCTCCATTACCTTAGATAGTGATTATTTCATTAATTTTTTGCGAAATAAAAAACACGTACTTCAAATAGGTCCCCATTGAAATACGAGACATATGGGGATGAAGGTCGTGATTTTCATCAGAATCATTACTTCATTGATTTATAGTGTACCTAACTTGAAATCTTTTCATGTGTCCCTTTTTCTAAGTGTGAATAATAAATTTAAAAATACTTCCAGTCTATAATATACGCTAAGGGGACATATTTAAAAAGCAGAATTTTTCCTGTATTCAGCTTTCAAATAGGAACTTATGAGGGTAGTTTAAATTTTCTGTCCCTGTTTCGTTGGATAAAAAAAACCAGAAAAATGGGACTTTAAAAAATTGCCCTGATGGGTTTTCCCCCAAAATTTTATTTCTTTTTGTTTTATCGCTTTGGTACTCTTCAGTGCTAGTGAGGATGAGTAATCCTGTACTCGTCGAAGCACCCTTGAGTTCTGAAGAGCGTAAAGGAATGGAAGATTCAGTATATCAATTCTCTTCAATGGTACTGATTGGCTCGTTAAATACGCATGAATGTTATGGGGAATTCAACATCAATTTTGCGTAAAATGAATTGAAACATGCTGTTTGGGATGCAAACGGGAATGTCAATATTACGTAAAATTTACGTTAATTTTACAGTATATCACCGTTTTCGTATCACAGAAGTGACATTTCTGCAAACATGTTGCCATTTTCTTGACAACGGTTTGCGTAAAAATGATATAAAATGGACAAAAATTTACATTCATTTTACGTGAAATTAACATAAACATGCTGTTTGGGATGGCTCCAATCGAACGAGCAACTCTTCGCCCTATCGTCTACTACGAGTTCCAACAACATCTGCGCTGCATTCAGGGGCAACGTCGTCCACTATTCCAAGGGGTCTCGATGGTTCAAGCGCTTGGAATCTGGCGACACGACCTTCGGAGATCAACCACGCTCAAGACGTCCATCTACAGTCGATGACGAAGCCCTGCAGAACGCCCTCAACGCGAAGCCGAACGCCACCACTCGAGAATTGGCGACTACACTTGAAGTCACCCATATGGCCATGGGCAACCATCTGAACGACCTCGGCTATCGGAAGATTTACTCGACATGGGTCTCTCATCGGCTCAGCGACTCTGACAAAGCAAGCCGTGCTAGGAAGACGAAATCAGCAAAGCTGTCTTAAGTCTCATGAAAACGTGTTAAACCGCAATGTCAATTGAGGCAATCAGTTGGAATATCATGAAAATGTTTAGGAATAGGTTCTCCCTGTCTACTGTAAGCTATATGTGTATAAATGTAATAAAGCGGTTCAGTTCCGAATGAGTAATGCAATTAACAGAGGATTGTCAAGGAGACATTATGCTCACAATATACGATTCAAATTTCTACCAATTAGCGGCCTCCGCCCGTTACGCTGGCCGTTTATCTAATACTTTAATCTGAAAAGGTTATAAGACGTGGTGATCGTGGATATCACCCCCACGTGCGGGCCTACAATGCAATGTCATTCTGGGTCATAGGCCAGGCCTACAAGGGTGCGCCTTTCTAAGCCATCACATACTTTAATTCGAACAGCCCAAGAGTTGTGGTGGTTGTCACCCCGACGCGCGAGGCCTACGAGACTATGTCACTTCATGACATAGGCTAGGCCATCTACCCCTCAAAGCGCCAGGTCCATTAGGCTAAGCCATCCTTGGCCATGGGCTAGACCACAAACCGCTCAAAGCCCCAAGTTTATGTGGCTATGCTATACTAGGCCAAAGGCTTTGCCATTCAACGCACTTAGCGCCAGGTCCATCGGGCTATATCAATCTGAGCCATAGGCTTTGGCTCATCCTATTATTTACACAGGCTGTATACTTAGCTGTGTCAAGCAAAGGGTGTTACGTTTTCACTGATCGACTGGAAGTTCTTCATTTCAATACATTCCTGGCTGAGATGTTTTTTTTTATGTATTTTTTATTTCCGTCAGGTCAGACGTCGCGGTTCTCGCCATCGCTTCCACGCAATAGTTTTTTTGTTTGCGTTTCATGTCATGGCCGATTTATTTCAGTTCTCATGATTGATGAAGTCAAAATAATAGTCTAAAATGTAAAATGTCTATGTTTCATACGTCGTGCAAAAGAGGTGCACCTTCCATCCAAAATGTTGGCGATTTTTGCGAGGTGAGGTTGGACGCGAAGAATAAATGTTGATGCAGGTCCCACAGGACGGCGATAAGGCAGTTATTGCTGGTAAAAAACGGTTGGTGCTGGGGCGGAAACAACGTTTGCCTCTGCAGTGGCGGTGCGAAGTGCCTAAATCGGTGCTAGCCGTAATGGCTAGAATCAGTGATNCCCATCAAAATGGTGGCGATTTTTGCTAGGTGAGGTTGAACATGTAAAAAAATGTTGAAAGAGGTCCCACAGGACGGCGATGAGGCAGTTGCTGGTAAAAAACGGTCGGTGCTGGCGCGGAAACAAGTTTGCCTCTGCAGTGGCGGTGCGAAGTGCCTAAATCGGTGCTAGCCGTAATGGCTAGAATCAGTGATGAACAGCAAGCAGACGTGCGTAGGGCCGCTCAGACCGCTGAACAGCAAGAGGGAGCGAATGCTGAGCTTCGGAATAACAGAGCCGTGGAACCTGCTGAGCAACTTGATGCAAGGAACGCAGCACTCAGGTGTCGAAAGCCTCCCCGGCTTTCGACACCCGAGTGCTGCCAATATTTGAACCCGGTTCTCCTGCTTGCCGGTCAGGTGTGCTGCCTTAACTTGTAGTAACTTGATGCAAGGTTGGCACTTTCAGGAATTTGTTTTTAGCATTGTGTCGCACATGCACTAACTTCCCTCTGTGCCGTCGAACAAGTTCTTGGAAACGGTCTGTGCTGTTTCAGAATCATTGGTGTCTGTACCATACGCTAACGCTAATAGCCGATGAGCTAATTGGTGATGCAAGAGTGTTGAATGTGCTAGGAAGACGAAATCAGCAATGTTGTCTTGAGTCTCATGAGACTCAAGACAACAGACAAGAAAACGTGCTATACCGAGGCGTTCACAATGGCGATTGTGATGATGAGGGCGTTTAGGAACAGAATCGCCCTGTGTACTGTAAGCTGTATGTATATATATGTAATGAAGCGGTTCAGTTCCGAATGGGTAATGCGATGACTAAAGGATTGCCAAGGAGACGTAATGCTCACAATAGACGATTCAAACATCCACCTATTAGACGGCCAGCGTAGCGGCCGCAGGCCGCTAGTATATTAATATTTTAAGGAAATCTTTAACATATTTTCATTGCCATTTCAAAAGGGCAAATGACATATGCGTTCATTGTCGGACTTCCTCGTTCTGTGTTCCTGAATCCCTAAATCAGTGGAAGGGAACTTCTTTGTCATGGTCATGGCAAATCACATGATTTTCACGAACACCATGAAGATATTCCTTCTTGCAAACTTCAACAAAAGACTTCCATTTTTTTCTCATCTTCTTGCCCTTGCTGAGCAACTCCGAATTTATGAAGAGAATCCAGGTGAACAGCCGCGTTCTTACAGATATTAGGGATACTCGATGGTTGACTTAGAATTTCGATTGGATCATCTCGGCGAAAGATGATAATCGACCCCAAAGGGTTGTTTTGGGATCCCTTCCTCGGTCTACTTCAGAAATTTCATTTTTCGCACGTTTCCACCGCATCACTTAGGTCTTTCACAACCCAGGTTCCTTTGAAACGATGAAACGAACGTTTCTCTCCGTCCGCACCAAAATCATCAGATTTTCTTGCAGGCGGCGACTGTACATAGGACCGGCATCTGCAAATGCTATTAACCTGGCAGCGACACACTCTAGAGATGCAATCGTTCAAGCGCAATAGATTGGAGGTGCCAAGAGCATAGCAATATAGCAAGAAGAAACTGACCAATGTTACATTAACGGGAGAAACAGACAAGAAAAATGAGATTTTATCAGGGTGTAAGCCAGTGACGTCATTGGCTCTCTCCCCCCGCTGGGATGTAGCTCAAGCCCAACTTTTTCTACTCTTCTAACCTGGTGTTATGCTGGTACCCGTTATGTTTGAATATATAATGTATTCCTATATTAAGGGCACATGAGATGCAGTCACGAACCGGCCAACCGCTCCCCCTCCTGCTTATCAAAGCTACAGATGACAATAATTCCCACGAACTCCTTACAAAGGGAGAATTACGATTAGAGCCCCTTTCATTCAAAATCGAGGAATTCGCCCTCAGACTTTGGAACATATATTGTTTCAAGTTCATGACATTCGGCCATTTGGCTGGCTTATGCACCAAAACCTCAAGATGCTCATACTGCGGCATGAATGGACATTCGTACAAAGAATGCCAACAGATGAAAGCTGGCCAGCCTCCTACATGCGCGCTCTGCCACGGTCCGCACAAGGCCAATTCATCGGCCTGCCCCCATAGACGGGCAGCCATGGAAAAGGTCCTATTGCAGGAACAATTCCGCAACACCAAGATCGCTAGAGAATACCATGCAAACAAAGAACTCCATGCAACGGGGCCCTCACCCCCCGCCACATGCCTGCAATCACAACGGGACCTCCCCCTTAGCCCTCGCACCCATCGACCTTGCCTGATCCGCTATGTAACCTCGCCGATAAGGCACCAGCCTCTCAGCTACAAACAAGACCCAATCCGAATGCATGGGGAAAAAAATATTCCCTGCACGAACACAGCCACCCTTCCTCCTCCGCCTACTTTGGATCCAGCTGGTCTCTCCATGGACATCGCCTCCCTTCAGAAGCAGCTCAACGACCTTGTGTCCTCACTCACCCCGCTCCTCGCACTCCTTCCCCTCCTCACTCAATAGACCAAGACCCGTTAGCAACCTCCCCCCGATTCGTTCACATTAACGTGAATGGTTTCAGAACAAAAAGAGCAGAAATCCGCAAATCATCGGCCAACTAGCCCGCCTGGTCATTTGTCTAAGTGAACTAAAACAGAAAAACGCACCAAACATCCATGGCTTCTACTCCTACAAGCCGTCGTTCCCTAACAGACCCTACCAAGGAGGATCTGGCGTTTACGTGCACACCTCCCTGGACTCGACACTTATCGACCATACGTGGGATAACGACATAGAAGTTATCGCCATACGCGATTAATTCCCAAAACGTCATGTCAACATTGCACATGCGTACTTTCCCCCATACAACCAAACCTTCCCCTCCCAGGAAGACATCACTTTCATCAATGAACTCCGAGGCCCCACGCTCCTCATCGGCGACCTCAACCCCATCACCCTTACCTCGGCGACCCCCCTAACATCGCCGACCCTAGAGGACGAGCAATTAGCAACCTCCTCCTCCACACAGACTTCGCCAACATCAACGAGCCCTCTCACACCTTCCATAGCGACGTCACTGGAGCCTCCTCCAGACTCGACCTCGCCCTGGGCAATTATCCCCTGCAACAACTCTCCCCCTTCTTCAACCTAGGAGCCGACATCGGCAGCGACCATCTCCCCATCATCATCACTCTACAGACTGATGCTCCCCCTCGATCCAATTCCGAGCGGACGACATACGACTTCAAAAATGCAGACTGGGAGGAATACCGCGAGACCCTAGACTCGCTCCTCCCTGATGCACTCTCCCTGAAGACCACCGCCCTACTAGACGATGCAGCCATCCGCATTGCAGAAACGGTCTCCATCCCCAAGATTTCCTTCCGCCCAGGCCGACCCTTCTCCATATCCGACCACACCCTCTCAAAAATCCGAGAACGTCGCAAACTGCGCCGCACTCTTCATCGCCATAACAACCCCCAACTGCGGCCCAACTTTGCTGAGGCGGCAACTCAGCCGCCTCAGCAAAGAAATCACGGCCCTATTAGCGCTTGACAAGGAACGATATCGGGAGAATTATTGCTCCAACCTCGATCAGGAAACCGACCCAAAAGAATTCTGGAAGCTTCTCAGGAGAATCGGCCGGCCGCCTTCAAACTCACTAAAACCTCTCAAGCACGGACTTCTCACCGTCATCACGGACGAAGGCAAAGCCAACGTCTTCGGCGAGACATTAGCTGCCGCCATGACTGAACCCCCCCCCTGCCTCGGACTCCACCCGTCAAAAGCTGAGCTCGCCCTCCAGAACGAGATCGTTGCCTTCACACCCGACCTCGACGCCTCCCACCCCGACAACACCTGGCGCTCCTACTCAA